TGGTCGGAGTCACCATTTACTTTATTTATTTAGATTACTTTTTTAGTTTCAAATTTTTTTCTAATAAATTCAAGAACTAAAATAAAATGGTAAGAATTATTGTAATTTTTAATAATAAAATATAAAAATATTAATTAAATCAATCATATAAAAATATGCAATAATTTCTGGTTCACCTAAACTGAATAGATATAAATGAATCTATCTTTAAATTATTTAATAAATTACTTCACAATATACTTTATTTGTTCAATAAAAAATTATATTATTCTCATTTGTTCATATCATATATAAGAGGAGAAATATTCTCACTACCAAAATTTTCCACTACCAACTTACTAGTTATCTAATCACCATTAGATTAACATTTTTTCTCGTTTCAAAGATTTTAAAGTTGCTTCAGTTCTTCTTAAATGAGGTGGGGCCCGGCGCTGCAATCATGAGTGAAGTTAATTTGTATCTTTCACAAATGATCCTGACAGGATTTGAGAGTGACCTATGGTTATAAAAACTTTTTATTTTATTTTATTTCAGATCGTGATTAACTAATATTTATTTAAGTATTGATTTATTTAAATTTATAATCTATCTGCAGTTAATTATAAACTTATTATCACAATTATTTTTCTATAATCAGTGATTGATTTTGGCAAATTATTTATGGGTTCATTTTTTCTGCAGTCAATGTAGATAAGTTATTTATATTGAATCCAAAATGATATTGTTTTAGGACAGAAATCAAAGTATTTTTATAATTATATTTTATTTCAGGGTTATAATCAATAGTCTTTTTTATTATAATTTTTTAACCCAAAACAACGTCGTTTTGAGAGTATTTGTAGATAACTTATCTACATTCACTGTAGAAACATTAAAGCCATTATTTTTTTGATACAAGTGAAAATTAAACATATATCCTAATACAATTTTCCTAAGCTTCTTACCACTAGATCAATTCTTATTTTGACAAAATTTTAGTTATATTAAATTAAGGGTTTGATGTTTCTAATATTATATGAGATAAATTTTATTTCAAACCCACACATAAAAATGTGTGGGGCCCAAATGGAGTCATGTGAGGAGAAGAGGAAAAAAAATATGGGTTTCATACTCTTTTATGTATGCAAAGGAGGTAATTTTATATCATACAACATGAGAAACATTAAACTCTTAAATTAATAGCTAATTGATAAGCAATTAATTTGATCATGTTTCCATTTTGCGTTCGGGCTTCCATTTACTTCCAAAATCTATAATGCAGAGTGTGTTTCATACATGGGTTTATTTTTTCTTATATTATAGAAGATAAATTTATCTCCTATACACAAATAAAAGTGTACAAAATTTATATTTTTTCTTTACCTTCTCCTCACTTGGGTTCCACATATTTTTATGTCCGTAGAAAATAAATTCCTAAATTTATTTCCTACAACATGAAAAAATTAAATCCTTATATATGAGATTAATGTTTCTTATGTTGTAAGAGATAATTTTTTCATTTTCTTTCTCTTCTTTTCATATGAGTCCAAATGAGTCCTACACATTTTTATGTGTACAGAAGATAAATAAAATTATTTCTTTCAATATAAAAAGTATTAAGCCATTTACACACACACACACACACACACATATATATATATATATATATATATATATATATATATATATATATATATATATAATGAATTTGGAAATACGAGAGTATATTGGACAGAAGGAGCATGTATAAATGGGAGCACACATAAAAGATTGGTTAAGGAGTGCCTTTAAACATTAATAAAAATAAATATTTATTATATTAAAATCAAAAAAAATATTTAATAGAGACTGTTAAGAATTTATTATCTAATATCTTTAAGATACTTTATCAATAATTCCTTTTCTATAATACAAGAGTTTTATTAACTTGTATTTCAAGATTCAAAGAATTAAAAAAATTATTAAATAAGTATTTAATATTTTAAAAATTATCTAGTATTTCGGTTAAATAATTAAAATTAACAATAGAAACCATTTTTATTAGTTAAAATTTGCCGTAAATCAATAACATAATCTCAGAAACAAAGTTAAACGACCTCTGTAAATTGAAAACGAATCCAGGGATAGTGGGATACTGCATGAACCAGTAATGCAGCCAAATATGAAATTACATCTTAGGGGAAAACTAAGTAAGCTTTGACAACTTGATAAGGATGATTCAATAGGACGAAATGAAAATGGAAACAAATAACACGGAAACAAAATACTGAAACGAGCAACGATTTTGTTAAAAAAAGAAAAGAAAACCAACATAGAAATCAAAGGTTAGGTGTTGAGTTCTGAGAAGTTTGCCCTGCTTGCTTGGTTTCTTGAGAAGGTGTTGTAGTAACTGAGGCGGTGGATTCAGTGGCCCTGGGTAGTGAGAGGTTAATTCTGCCATCGATACAAGTAGAGCATTTTCTCTCTGCCCAGCTTTCTATGTCATATTGACCATGACCCATGATTCTTCTTCCTGAGCACAACCTTCCAATCATAACCGCAACTACCCCCAACACAATTATGACGATGAGAACTCCAACGACGGGACCAACTGATCCATGTTGTGATTCACCAGCATTGGATTGCTGTACCACGGTGACTGCTGGAGGAGGTTCTTGTTGTTGTTGTTGTTGTTGATACATTGGCATTGACATTTTGATGACCTTTGGGAATCAATAACTTTCTCCCTCTCAAAATGTGAAGAAGATATCAACAATAATAAAGCTGTTTTCTACTGCGAAAACCAGAACAACCTCTGTTACGGTTAATTGCTTGGGCTGGTAGATTTGTGATAAAGCAGATGAAGCAGTTGGAAAAAATAATAATGCAGAAACAAGGAGAAACAAAATTACTTGGGTTGTGGGTATTTAAGCTCTGCAGAGACAAATATGCCAGGACCTAGACTTTACTCACTGTGAGCTTCTAAGAAGCAATTTAATTAGAAGAGGACATTTGGTGGAGAATGTAAAAGGATGTCATACTTGAATGCCTGAGATGTTATGAAACATTCTCATTCTGAAATTCTTTTTGCCAAGGATGACCGGAGGAGAGTTATATTGAAGATATGTGTTCTTTTAAGATTTAAGAAAGAGAAAGAGTTGAAGAATTTTCCTTTCTTTTATTTTTGTTTGTTTTTAGAGTAAACACCCCTTTTTAGTCCCTGTCAATATCTAGAAGTCTTTTTTAGTCCCTGACAATAAAAAAGGACCAAATTGGTCTCTGAAATTACAAAAAAGGGCCCTTATGTCAACTCCCAAATATATAGAGTGACCCTTTTCTTGTACTTTCAGGGACCAATTTGATCATTTTTTATTGTCAGACACCGAAAAAAATTTTGTAGATATTTACAGGGAGGTGTTTACTCTTGTTTTTATCAGGGAGGGGGGAGGGAATTCAAATGGAAGGCCGTGAAAGATTGGAAGGGTTACCGTATTGTTAAAATTATTATAACCTGAGTTGAGGAACCCCGAGGGACAGTAAAAGGACGAAAGGAAAGGCGAAAGAAATCAGAAAAGTGGAATCTTTGGAAAGTAAAGTGCATACCCTTTTCTCGAGAAGCCCTTTTCAAACCAACATCAAAGAGCTTTTTCAGGAGTCTGCGTACTGTATGAAGCCATGAGTGAACAACCTTAACAACACGGTAGAAATTGGAAACTCTTTTTTTAATACCAAGTGCGTGAATACCTTATTCCAGAATACTCAGGGACGATTCTCTTCTCTAGTAAGGTTAAAAGTTAAAACTAAAGATGGTCCACATCCAATTCAAATGCCTTACAAATTATGACCCTCCATCTTTTCTTTGGCCATCACTCGTCTGTCTTGATGAGTTTATAAATGATAAATCTAATTAATTTTCTGCTCATTATTCTGTTCAGTCATCAGTAGACATTCCAAGAAAATCCACAACCACGTATTCACTTTCACCATTTTAAAATATTTTCATGTTTCCTAGTTTAGATTGCAATTTTTTTTTTTTAAACCATTGAAATAATAAAATATATTTTTTGGATATTTTAATTTTCTATTCATTTACACTACCTGCAACGATCTTTAGTAAAGAATTCAGAGATTCCCCCGTCACACTCAATCGGAATTTCAAAACATTGCTGTCTTCGATCTCGTGTGTTTAGTCGTGATCAACACTTTTAAATTGCTATCGCTCATCAAATGCCAGAATTGCGTTTCTTACAGTTTTATACCGGAGGTGTTCATTATGCAGATGCCATTTAAAAGCTGATTTGGCTCTTCAATGGTGTTAGAAAAATATATAAACCTCAAATTTTGAATTAAATTGATTCTTTATATAATATCAAAACCTCACGGGTTCGATTCTCAGTTCCTCACCGCTCCCCGCTTTCTCTTGTAAAATTTCTTAACACATCTAAGTGACCTTTGCATTATTCACCATTCATGCCCAGTGGGCTCCTATGTGAAAGGACATAGTAGAAAAGTATATAAATCATTGATGGACATTCACTTAATGATTTAAACTTTTGAGTTAAATTAATTCTTTACAAATGGTAAGAATGTACTAACAAAGAAGTGTAAAATTATATCCATTGAGTAAAAAATTAAAAAAAATAATTAAAACTTCATAATTTATTACACATAAATATATTTTATCATAATCTCAATGGTTAATTTTTCAATTAATAATCATGACTTTTAAAAATACATTCCTTACTTTAAAAGAGCTATTTTTTTTAAAATGCAATACTTCTAAAATGAACTTATCTCTAAAGTGAGCAAATAACTATCTATCCAACTGCTCTTCAATATCAAATAATATTACAATGCACTTTAAATTAAATTAATAATAACTATAGCATCACTTGTTCAAGAGATAAATTCACGAGTACCTTTTTCCATCTACCACTTTTTAAGATGAAGCCAACCACGAAGTCATCCTTGAACATTTGTGTTGGTCTTCTTCTGGCACTGGCACGGCTTATGCGAAGACATTTTGGTCATCTGTATGAATAGCACTAAAACATTCATAGCTGGCTGTGAAAACAACAAATCAAAGCATCCTTAACTAGAGAAAAAACTGAAGTCATCATATTTCCAAAACTTGGGCTCTGACGCCAGCACATTTACATCTTTAAATTAATTTATGAAACCCAACTACATACAGATAATACTGTGCAGTACATACAAAAAACTCCAGCACAGGCATTCACAGTCAGACAAGAAATAGCAGGAGTTGATCCCACGTAGCTGACACAGAATACGCGGTACAACTTATATCTCGCAATGCACTCATGCAACCTTCAACACAAGCGGCCCTTGACAATTAAAGGCAACACGTGTAACAACAGCCCTATAAGGGGAAAAAAAAAAAACCCTTCACTGAGCTCAAAGACCAAGCAAATGGAGGATACACTCTCTCAACATACTGTACAACATAAAAGCAGGAGCAGAACTATTCTCATATTTGGATAGATGTCATGACAAGCCGCCTTAGATCAAGCAATTCTATCCAGAGACCTTTCCAATTCTTGAAGTAACACTTCCAGAGCTGGAAGCAGTCATCAAATTTCCATTAGCAGACATGTAGAAATAGTTGTAGTTAATTCTGGTGACCAAATCAGCCAAATGAGGGAAGTGCCCCACATTTAGTTTGAAAGATAAGACCTGAAAAGCCAGGATAAGAATTGCATGATTAAGAACTAACATATACACCATTCAACCTTTTTCTTTCCTCGCAGCAGGTGGAGGGGAAAGGGAAGGATACGACCAAATTACTCTGGTTGTGTTAAAATCTCAGCATTAAATTTCACTTACTAAGAACATGCAATCTTAAATGCAAACGTAATTATTAGCAATAGGCGTTATGCAAATTGGTAAAATGCTATCACAATAATATTGGGAGAATAATTCTTCAGTGCCAACTGATGCCAACATATTCCATTTTGGTACGTATCCTTTTTCTTTTTTCAAAATTTCCATTAATAACCACTTTCCACAACAAAAATATCACTATTTTGTAAAAAATATTGAAACAGCAAAAATATTAATCGCTCCTCACCAAAACATTTTATCGTGGTTAAGTTGTAAGGAGAGGTTAGTCGAAGGCAATTTAGAAAAAGAATAAGTTGCATGTCAAATCAAGCATTCAACTATAATTCCCCGATAATATTTTTCCCATAAGTAATTCCTCTAGTGAACATCTACATTTCATAAAGACATGAACTTCTACTGTCAACCAGTGCAGATTTGACAGAGTAAAATCAATTAAATAAATTCAAACTTTGATACTTTTTGTATTATGCACTGCTAATTTGAGGGTATATAACAATAACAATTCAAGCCTTTTTCCACCAGATGGGTTGGCTACATGAATCAGACAATACCATTGTGTTTCTGTCAAAAAATAATTCATCATATAGGCCAATCAGATCTAAATATTTTTTAGTGGTTTCACTCAGTTTTTCTTGGTCATTCTCTACCTCTAATTATTGTGCTATTTTGTATCTGATCAAATCTCCTAAGTGGGGCTTCTATTGGTCCAAATCCTTTTCCTCTAATTTGAGGGCACCTTAATTATAAACTCAACATGCCTTAGTTTTACAGAGCACTTTATAGATTATAATATCATTGTTAGTTTGTGGCACTCAATAGCAAGCATACAATCCATGTGAGTATTTCTTTGTAAAGTCACATATATCTGTAAACCCCCCCCCCCCCCCCCAAAAAAAAAAAAAAAAAAAAAAAAAACAAGCCCAGTTTTTCTATTTCATACGTATATAAACAACTGTTGAGGAAAAAGATGCTGCAAGTGTATTTTAGTAATAGCATAAAATATCCATTATTTTCATCAAGACCAAGAAGTAAAACTAGCAGTCACAAAGTAAAAGCATAGTTAGTATAAATTCTGTAGAAGAATACCCGAAGTAAGAAAGCAATGCAATCATCAAACTGTTTCTCAATCCGGTCCACTTCCATCTCACACCTGGCCTTGATTGCAGAAACAGCTCCACCGCTACTTAATGTCTGCTGTATGGTATAAAAGTCTAAAGCTAAGCCAAGGATGCTGTTAATGCGGCTGGCAATCAGCGCTCCCTGAATGCAACAAAGAATACTGAAACTACTCAAGCTTTGCCCCATTATAATTTGTAAATACAACAGTCAAAATATGATACAGGGAGAACACAAGCACCCAATTAAGAGATACAATAAATCACCAGCTTATCAGGAACCACAAAGCACTGCCGCTGAATTGATAACATGTAAGCCTCATGAACTTCAATGACTTCATCCAGAGATTTGGCAGCAGTCATACCTTCACAAAGTTCACGCCATGCACTGTGGTATACCTGCATAGAAATTGTAGTGACAGGTAAAATGCTCAGGTTCCGTTAACAAATGTAGAACCGTATAAGCATGAGTGTATGACTAATGGGAAGATTCCGTTGTGTGATTAGTGATTACAATAAAAGGAACTAGAAGGCATTGAAAGAAATTGCAACTAGCCATTCTATTGGTAGGTTCCCTATTGTAATTATATTCCCCCCATTTTTCCTTCCAAAATCTAGCACAAAGGCTAGTAATATCAGCCCCCACTATTATGTGTGTTTATGCCGGATCCTGACTTCAATGCTAATTAACCACGTCCCATGTATTTTGTGAGCTTTGCAAGTAAATCTTCTCCTGGAGCAATTATTTTTGTAATTAACTAAATGCAGGTACATACCCGATCCATCACATATTGGTGAAAAGCATCCACAAAATGGAGGAGTTTCTGCTCCAGTAACCAATGATGCTTTCTGTTGTTTGTTGCAGATCCCCTGCCCTGCAAAGGGTGATTGCAGTTTTAAACCTTACAGTAAGTGTCCAGAATTCAGTAAAATATAATACTAGATTGTCAAGTTATTTCATGAAAGATTTAGCTGAGGGAGCACATGCTCCAACGAAGATAGATGAGGAGTAATTTATGGAAGCACCTTCCACATCCATCTCCGCACTTTATCTAATACAAATTTTGCACGCTTGACCTTCAACAAGAACCGCATCACCTAAAATATTTTTATTTTATTTTTAAAAAAAGGATCAGAATAAGGTAAGCAAAAAAAACCAACCGGGTGGCAGGAAGAAATATCATAATCTGGATGATGAAAAGAACTAGAAGGCTAAGAAAAATAGAGAGAGTATCCCAAAGACAAGCCAGATACCTGGTTGTACTTCTTAATTGCCTCTGTATTTGCAATGAGTTCAAGAGGCCAAGGGACCTGCCAATTCCAAATTTCCAATTTACCCGTATTCATAAATTTTTAAGGAAACCAATACTCTTAATAAACAGGAATCAGTTAGAAAGGCAGAATAAATTGACTAAAGAATGACCTTATACGTGAATTTAAGCATATCAAGGCCATTAATTCCAAAGCTATTGACATGACTTTTACGAGGGGTACTCAAAACAACACCAGTTGTGCTAGCATCCTCATCACTGTCAACAAGATTTTTGGTTATTGAAACTACCAACGAATCTGGAGCACTTAACAGCATACAATCAGCAGAGTTTCTGATTGATTCCTGTAATTAATATGCATAGATAGATTATGAATAGAAAATAGCATAATAAACAAAGGCATAGAAAGATGCTAAATTTATTAAATAAACCCATGAAACCATAGAATCTGTCAGTATAATAAGGCTAATCTCTTTATATTACATGAATACATGATGACAATCATTTATACACTTCCACTTTGCCAAACCAGTACAGAAGGTCGTATCCACTATTTAACATCTCCACCATCCTTTTCAAAGCATTTACCTTAAGGGGGTGTTTAGTAGAAGGATTCCCGGGAATTTGAAGGTGGTAATCTTATTTACCCACATTTGGTACGAGATTTTTAAAAAATTTCCGGGAATCTGATTTTTCCGGAATTTTATTTTGTGTGTAAAATTTTCTAAAAATACCATCCAAGAATACCACCCAGGGGGTGGTATTCTAAGATTCCCATAGTAAGGGAAAATTTAACACAACCAAATATAGGATCAAGAAAATTAACACAATATTCCCGAGAATATTTTGACCTACCAAACAACTTTTTGGTAACATTCCTAGAAAATTCATTTTGTCACCATCTGGAAATCGTGATTCCCGGGTAAAAAAAAAAAATTTATCCTCTACCAAACGCCCCCTTATTATTAGAGTTTTGTGAGACGGGACCTCATGTCCCATCACTATCCCATACATTTCATGTCTAAATAATACCAATAACAAAATGGACTATAAAAACTCCAGGAGAACAAAACATTATAAATGGAAATGGTTTACTGTGGTTCAATACTTGCATGCTAGGTGGAATTTGAATCTAAAAATGACAGCAATGTAGTAAATTCCAGACCAGTAGATAACGTGTACGCACAGTTCGAAAAGAGAGAGATTAAGACCAGAACATTATATGAAAAGAACCACTAACATGCTCAACAGAGCTACGAATTTAAAAATGACAACTCAAAATCATGTCACAGAAAGAAAGAACAAAATTGTGAAAATCAAAGAATCATACCATGCTGTGCCCAATGATACTTATCCTTGTCATGAAATAATATTTCTATAGGAGAGTCAGACATGCACAGGGAACAGGTATTGCCATTCAACAGTCCCATATCCTATGAAGTTAGCCACACGTAGATGGGATGCTGAGGTCCTTTCTAGTTGCTTTAAACACTAAATTTTTACTTTCCAGATGGAATTAGCAAAAAGAACTTATGACCTTTCTATCTTTATCAAGCATTTAAATGATAACCCATTCCTTTAATTCTCAAACCTTGAAATAATTTTAAATATACTTTAACATAAGAAATTAGAACTTAGAAGCAACTTCCTTGTCCAACTTGAACAATAAATTGCAGCAGATGTTAGATGAACTCAAAATAGAATAGAACCAAAAAGTATACCAAAACAAATAGCACAAATAACAGTTTAACAAAATCAAGTAATCTACCTGTAATATTGTGTTTAATTCAAAATCATCATCCCATGTTTCACCCTTATCCAATTTATTGAAAATCACAGTCAAAAAGTGTTGTAGCAAATCACCTGTACAAGACAAAATATCAAAAAAGAAGACAAAGAAACCAAAATGACTCCTACCCAACATAAAGTGATAAAAAAAATATTAAAGCATGATATACTATATAAAAAACAGTAAAAAACAATTCACAATTTCATATAATAAGCAAATACCTGAACCTAGCAAGTATATAGCACGCAACACTGCAAGCTCATCCATCAACCTCCATTCGTTCATCAACTTTAACAACATATTCACTCCAATATAATCCACCTGTTTTAATCAAAATGAATTAATTAAATATTATCATAGCGTGAAATCCTGGATTTGTAAGATGTTTTAATTTGATTCACCTGTTTCTGAATGTAGACGGTCAGACAGTACTGCATAATAACCAGAGGAAGTGGAGTAGTTCTAAGATGAACATTCTGCATCCAGCGAAGAACTCTTGAAGGAAGAGTGCTGTTTCTCTGGAAAGGCAAGAGCTCTGACACAGGAAGATCATCCTGTTTCAAATTAAATATTTGTTTAACACACCTAAGTACTGAAACCTACATCTAAATCTGCTCAAGTCACCAAGTAGAAATACCTGAAACAAAGGCAAAACGGTGGGAAAAGGAAACAACATTTCTAACAGCTTTCTCTCATCCAGTGAGCAAAGGTATTCAGATTCACCAAACTGAAAACCAAAAGTATAGTTTGTTCCTTCACTATCAGAAAATGCTGCACTTTCACCACCAAATATAGCCTTTCTTAAACCCCCATCGTTCAAAGAAGGCAAGCAGAATTTTTGAGATAAATTTAATGTTTTCAAGGCATCCCCATTCTTTCCAAGCGTTGTTTGACATACAGTAATAACTGGATTCTCTATGCATGATCTCAAGGGAAGCAGTTCGTCTTCAACAACTCTAGTCACTCTCAGGTCTCTAGTGTAATTATTTATGTCTTCATATTTTAGCTTCAAATCAGCTGATCCTTTCTTAAATAATGTATCAATCAAGAATTTATACCAGATCTTCTCAGAGTATGGCGGTGCAATTAAATTTTCATTATTGTCATTCTCTGTTTTTTCCTTCTTTACATAAGATTCAAAGGAAGAAACAGATACAGATTCGTACCAGTCATCTTGCCAAAAGTACTTACAAACATGGTCACCGTGACCAATAAGTCCAGCTAGGGATATGGAAAAAACTTCCGACAGTGCTAGCCCAGCCATTCTCTGAGAAGGATACAAACCATAATTTAAATGGTTGGTGTTTCCAATCTCACAATTACTTCCTTTGCTACATACTGCTAAGGAATTAGGGACATGGCGCATCAGCTGCAAAGATTTTCCAGCGGAAATTATTGACTTAGCTAAATCCTTGATAAAAAATGGACAAGCTGAACGGTCTCTAATGCCCTTCTCTTTTCCTTTAATTGTACTAGACAAAGAGATGGAATCCCTCCTGCCAATTTCCTTGTCATTTGAGGCTGGCACAGGATCACCGACATAATTTGCGGAAGAGAACTCAGCATCTAACTTATTACGCTGTAGCATTCTTAATAAATAACTCTTCTCCCAGAACTCAGCCTCATCAACTGAGACTTCTTTATTAGCAAAAAAGAACATCTGAAAAGAGAGATGACATGATCAATACAACATTTTGGTGTTTAGAAAAGCTTATAATCAAAACGCTACAGAGAGCTTTTGGCTGAAAAGCGTTTTATGTGTAAAGATCAAGTAAAACCAAATATGTTCTTGAACAGTATATCTCACAAACACCACAAACAATATATATTGCAGCATCAATATAACCTACTTAAATCTCAAAGTAATTTTAGGCCACATATATTGGAAAGTATGTATGGAAATGATTCCCTTAAGTGAGTGTCATGCAAAACAAATCCAACATAAACACTTGAAGAATGCAACAGGAGGGCATAAAGACAAACTTCAGCAATTTTTTGCACCAAAGGAAAACTTGAAGAGAGTATTTCTTAGTTAGACAACATAACTATATGACACTCTTTAGCACAAGATAGAGAAAGAACTTCTTCCCCCTCCACGAATTGAGAGATTCAATAACCATTACCTCATCGGAAGGATCATCAAGATTTCCTTCAAAAAGCCAAGAATCAAGACCCTCAATATATGGCAATAGGCTTCCAACATACATATAAAGCACCATCTGATAAGCTTCCTCCTGTGATCAGGATAGTTTCCAAAGTTTGACAGCATGAACCAAGAAAAAAATGTTTAAAAAATACATAATGTGCTGCATGGAAAATAGTCACGACCTCACCACCTTGTACAAGACACATTTCATCAAGCTTCTTATGAAGATAGTCAAGCACGTGAACAGCCAGTTCTGCAGCTGGTACAGATGCACCAAACTCAAAATACACTGCAGGGATGGCCTCATGGACTACTCGCAATAGCAACTCAGCACCTGAGCAAAGACTAAAGTCAACAAATGACCATCAGATACTGTCACAAACTCAAAATCCCCGAAATTTATTAAATTTGGAGAGATATGACCCGAGCAATTTGGGAATATCCAAATGTAAACCGACCTTCCTAAAATTAAACTCTAACGAGGCAAAAGATGAAAACCAGCTAGCATACATACAAAACTTTAAAACTTTAAATGGTAAGAACCTTGATAAAGAATTTGACAATCCTAACAAGGTTGCAGTGGTCATGCCATCTGCATTGCTCGTGGACATTTCCTCCTTCAAGGCAATATTCCGTAACCGCTGCTTGACAATAAGTTAGCTTGATTTCAAAAAGAGAGGGAAAATTCGATAGAGAATAGCATATATATATATATACATATGAGGCAGTATCCTTTGACACCAGTGTCAAATTTCAAATTTGACACCTCATCTGATAACTGTTAGATCAAAAAAAGATCAATGGTGTAACATGCTTGCAAATCAGAGTCGTTGATCTTTTTTGATCTAAAGGCTATCAGATGAGGTGTCAAATTTAAAATTTGACACTGGTGTCAAAAGATCCTACCTCTCTATATATATATATATATATATATATATATATATATATATATATATATATATATATATAAAGTTGGATCCTATCACTATCAGCATCATAAACAAACCTTAAGCCACGCCGAAGCAGAGCACGCAAAGGCCTTCAAAGTTGGAGGAGGTTTTGCGACAGCAGTTTCAATTTTATTGACTGTAATCTCTACCAATTGGAGACACGTCGCTGCATGGATGAATTGATTCAGAAGGGAGTGGAGACTTTTCTGTGACAAATGACTCACGTATACTCCGTTCTTCGCACGAAAAATGTATCCACTGCTATCCCAACAGAATAGGGTACTGGAAAACCCTTGCAGCATTCGTAAAACACCTCGCACCTTTCACCAAATTAACAAGTGCATTCAGATAAGCACTAATAAATTACCACATTGAGTAAAGGATAATGCAAATTAGCGGAATTAAGTGTCGAATCGGTGATGGAATTAAGAGAGAGAGAAGCATACGAGTTCAAGTTCATTTGTTCGCAATGACGATAAGGGCGTTGCAAAATGAATTTCATTAGCCAATGGAGCGTAGATTCTGTTGATTAAGCTTCGGGAAACTCGTGCTTCGGCCCCCATTTTGTTCGGCTGAATCTGTAGAGAACGCTCATGGAGAAGAATGAGGAAAGTAAAGTGACACTGTGGAGATCGGAATATTGCTTTGAAATGTTAATGGCGGAGGCAATACTCAAATGGGCCTCCCATAGAGAAGACAAGTATTAATTGGGCTTGGCATGGGCCGTTATAGAGTTAATTTTTACCTATTTGGTTATAAATTTTTTAGAGGAAGATTATATGAATTATTTTCGTTTATAATTCCTTACAATAATAATTTATGGGTTTGGTGTTTATCATTTTAAATGACATAAGTTATGTCATTTTAGGAGAGAGATAAACACAGAAAAATGGAAATCATGGGAGAGAGAAAGTGAATGGCTTTTTTTAATTTAAAATTTAAATTTTCTGTGTCTGTATCTCTCTTAAAATGACATAACTTTCTGTCATTTAAAATGACAAACACTTTTCCCATAATTTATATATCTCAAAGAAATATTTTTTACGATGAAAGTACATAGATTTAAAATTAGAACTTATAAATTATACTCTGGTAACATTTTTTTTTAATGCAAAAAAAAAAAACTCTTTTAATAGGGAAATGCTTTTTAATCAAACAAATGATGATATCATCATGAAAACTGTGTACTGTTGCAATAAAATTAAATTTTATTTGGTTCCACATAATCATGTTTCTCATTCATTTTTGTTTGGAAATTATTGAGTCTTATGAAGACAATTGGGTAACAGAAACGAAAATATAAAATTAGTAAAAATTTGTTTATATTTTATTACGGAAGAATAAGAGAGGGTGGGTGGTTATCTTTTTGTTACAAATTTAAGTTCGATTGAATTGAGAGTTTGACGTTTGTTTTTTTTTTTTTTTTGATAACAGATGTTTATGTTTGTTGTTTTAAAAGATATATAATTATGTCTTTTTAAGAGAAAGAAAGAGATACACAATGAAAAATAGTGGAGAAAGTGGATAGTTTTTTATTTATTTAATTTCAAATAAAAAATATTAGTGAGAGTTTGGAAGGGAAGAGGAGAGAAGGAATTCAAGGGAAATGAAGGGAAGAGAAATGAAGGGGAAAAAAAACCTAAAAAATATATAAACTTTATTCTCCCTTGTTTAAGAGTAAAAAAAAATTCAAATTGAAAAAACTTTAATTTTAAGAACAAGAAAGGTTTTGAAGAGTTTTGTGAAAATCCTCAAATGTTTACTCTCATTTTTTTAAACTCACAAACAAGAAAAATAATTAATAAAATTTTTCCCTTCCTTTCCTTTCCATTCCTTACCCTCCTAAAACTAACTCTCAAGACAAACAATTTTTCCTTCAATTGATTACAAGAGGCATGAGTAATTTATTTTCTTAAATAACATTTCTCACTTGTTTATAGATATCAATGTCCAAGCTGTCACTAAAAAATATATAAATTTTATTCTCCTAACATCCTCTCAAGTCTCAATTATTTAGAAGCAAAAAAACTAAAGTAAAAAAGCATTTAATACATTTTTTAACTAATTTAAAAATATTTGGATAATTCATTGAAAAAATTAGAATTTTTTTTTGGAATCAGATTTTTTTCTTCTAATTTTCTATTTTTTGTTTAACATGTGGCACTGGAAATTCAAAAAGGCATTTGCACCTTTCAAACCCTAAAGTCTAATATGTACATGAGTCAAAGATGAAGGGTTGGAGGGAGGATAGAAGTTGCATTTTATTCTTAAAATATAAAAAAGAATAATGGATATGCCTAAAATATATATAATCAATTAAATTTACATGTAATTTTCTAGCGTGTGAATAAGGTTCAACTAACCTAGCCTTGTTATGTACATACATAATAACTGCAAGTAAACGTGAAATTATCACTTTTACAGGGTTGATATGTTTCTTCAACATCATGAATGAATGACTAGCTTCTAAATCCCTGCAATGATAATTATCCAATATCCGGTTCAAGTACCCGAGCTTCAGAACAAATCCATGCCTCAGTTCCTCTCCTGCTGTAGCAACCCCACCCAAGATTCCAAGTCCAACTCTCACTGTGGATGAAGAAAACTAATATTCCAGGAAGCTTAGTTTATAATTTTCATATAATTGTCAAAATTGCTTGCAATATGCTTGGGTTTGCTAGGATTATATAGTAATTCAGTATAATGGATTGCAAAAGCTGAAGAAAACTAACCTAATATCTCTATTCCCGATTCTGATATCTCACTCCTTGCAACTGTTTTTCTTCTTCCTCTCTGCATTCTTTCTCTAATTTCCTCCTGCGACAACCCTTTTCAATACTGAAGCCTGACGGAGGAAGGAGGAAGAAACTTGCGAGAAAGAAGAGAGAGAACTCAAGAGAAAGAAGAAAACAGGGGAAAGCAGATTGCAAGGGGGGGAGAGAAATCAGAATAGGGAATAAAGAGAAATTTGGTTAATCTTCTTCTGCTTGCCTATTCCATTAGACAGAGCTACTAACTACATAATCCTAACAACCCAAGTGTGTTACAAACAATGTCGGCAATTATCATAAAATTATCAAGTGAATGGAGAATATCAGGCTTCACCCACGGTGAGAGTCCATCTTGGGCTTGGAATCTTGGGTGGGGTTGCTACACCCGCCGTATCCTTCTAACATTTGAGCAAAATCTCAGCTGATGGCATGCTTCAAATCAAAGGTTCCTGATAGTTTCATAACTGTGAAGGGTATGTTGCTGGAATTGGTAAGCCACGCAATTGAGGGTACTAGATTTCAAGGGAGATTGAGGACTGTTAGCTTCTGTCAGGGAGCAAGGAGAGCCACGTGAAGATGTAATATGATTAGATTCCTCAGTATCATATTTTTTGGAAGTGTCACTGTCAAAAATAAAACAACAAAAAGAATTATGTCAGTCAGGTAGCCAGAAGCATATTAGAAAATTTAACATTCATACTAACAGCAAATAGTGACGAAAATATTACCCAATTAAATTATGAAATTTATTAAAAATCCGTGCACGGATGGAGGCTGGCACTACACCACGGCTATTTTTTGAGCTTCGTCCGGGACTATTTCTACGTGAATCATCCTACAAAGCACAGACAATCGGACAGCATTATCAGCTAGTCAAATCTTCCAATCAGGGTAGCCCAACTCTATAAACCCAAAACAATTGCTGGTTTATAATTCATGATGATTTATCTCCTTCGACCATGTCAATACAATAGTCCACTATCAAGGAGTTCAAGTATAATTAGCACTTACTCTTGGCCCGGGATCTCCCCTGGGATATCCTTGTGAATGAGCTAAAACATCTTGATCATGCAAATTTTGTACAAAGGCATGTGTGAGAAGCATCGCTGCTGATGGTCGATCCGCAGGATTCCTTCTAAAACACTGCTGAAGGAAATCCTGTCCCTCTGAAGATAAAGTTTCTGGTATATCTGGGGATTTGTGCAGTACCTTGAACATGGCTTGAGGCTAGTACACAGAATAGAACTAGGTCATTCAATTAACAAGAAAACACTAGCATACCATTCCAATACCACTTCTAAAGGATGCAAGGATATTCAAATGCCTTGCTTAGACATAGTGAAAGTGCAATAAAGCCAACATGTATTAATATAGAAAACAAGTCAAGACCAGTAAACGGTTGAATATAAGAGGGGGAAAAATCCTTGCAGAATGTGATGCATAGCAGCTCTTTCCAGTTATTTTTCCAACGAGAATTATTACTTAAAGCCATGCCAAAACAAGGGAAAAAGGAGAAATGCTACAGAGAGGATATCTGTTTTGCATACTTGCCCTGCCACCGAGCACAGGTGGAGGGATTATTGATCTTATATTGAACCAAGTAACCAACCAACTAATATGTGCAATCCTTGACAATAATGAGTTAACAAGCATAATAAGCTGCTCACCCCTTCAAACTCGCTCCAAGGAGGTTTTCCTGTCAGCATTTCGATGATGGTGCACCCTAAGCTCCATATATCAATGGCCAGGGCAATATTAGGATTAGATTCTTTCTTTATGGCAGCCTTCATGAGCTTCAATCAACAAATTAGAGTAAAAAAGGGGCATGTCAGTATTTATTACCCATCTAAAAACATGTGGATAATATGAGTAATAAAATACCTCCGGAGCCATCCAGTAAGGACTTCCCTTCAATGAAAGTTCATATGCTTTCTCTGTCAGCTGAAAGGAGCAGAATGTTCAAATAACAAGACCACCAGAAAAGGAAAAAATAAACAAAATAAACAAAACAAAACAAAAACGATTCTGGCTTCAATGATAATCTAATTATGACATCTATAGAGACAAACTTACCACTTAAAAGTGAGAAATTAGCTGGCAATCTATATATATCTATGCATAAAGCATAATCAAAATGAAAATTGAAGAACAGAACTTTAAAACTCACAATTTTTGACACCCCAAAATCTGCAAGCTTGACAATGCCTGATGCATCAACCAGCAAGTTTGCACCTTTGATATCCCTAAAGAACCATATAAAGCAATGGCAATCGGACTTCATTATCAAAAAAATCACTGTTGTTTTACCAGATCAAGCAAATTTCTTACTATCTTTTTATTTCTTTAGAAGCCAATATATAGTTCACATGAGATATAATAAATTATTATTCAGAGAAATAAAACGTGGTATTTTAGTTCCTTTCATCAAACATTGTTGTTACCTGTGAATAGTCTTGGTACTATGCAAGTATGCCAATCCAGAAAGAATATGGCGTGTAAAATTGCGAACCACAGATTCCGTCATAACTCCACAATGTTCGTGCATAAACTTATGAAGTGATCCAGGATGAACATATTCCATATATATGTACAATCGATCCCCAACCTTACAAAAAAGATGTTTGACAACTTCAATCTTATTTACAATCATAAAGATCCTTAAACTTTTCCTTAGACTGTATAAGTATACTTGGAAAAAGAACCAACAATTAACTCACTATTTCCCTGTCATAATACTGCACAATGTTGGGGTGGTGCAGTTTACTGAGAATTCCGATTTCCTGAAACAAGGG